CCAACGGCTCGTGCTTCATCTATCACCTTTACTCCTGCTCGTAGAAGCTGCCTGCACCAGAAAAATGCTCCTCGGCTCTTCGGACAAGATCTAAGACTAGTTAAAAGGGATGAGCAATCATACAAATTTTCTTGGAAGTCAGCGGCCAAACCCAGCCAATGCGGACTCAGATCTGTCAAAAGTGCGAATTCTGCCTACACAACCTCCTTGTCACAAAGGTTCGCACACTGCAAAAAGGTCGAATCTAAGCCCATGCAATGCGGATTGGACCGCTCTCAGTTGTCGTATTGCAACAAGGAAACCCCAAGATCCATGCTGTCGTTTGTTCGTTTGTAGTGAGGTGCACACCTCTGTGTGCACCTGAGACGCTGAATCCATACCTGCTCTGCTTCGACTTGCGGAACATCGCTCTGAAGAAAACTGTGAAAGTTTTTACCGCGCTCTTTTCACAGCTGTCTTTTCACAAGGGCAATTAGATCATCAAGGCGACCTATTGCCGTGGGTAGCCTGCCACGATGAAATCAGTTACCATAAACGTTCTGAGTGAAAATACCGTCTAAGGGAACCACCCGCAAGTATGAGTGATGTGGTTGAAAAGAAGAACTCTGTGCCGCAGCCCGTAGCGCCCTACACGTACAGTTTTAGTGGTCAGTGTGGATAAAAGCGACTAGCACTGGGCTCATCTTGTCACCGAGAGCTGGCACTGTGGCCTTGGGATGGAATGTGCTTCTCATTGTGGGGAAAGTCAAAAAATGTCAGAGCAGATGTCAAACTGTTTGAAAGGGCAAAGTGCAGATCATAAGGAAACATTCGGTCGTTAGCGAATGTAGGTGGAAACAGACCTAGCAGTTCATATTGGATGACAATGTCACGAAGCCTTCAGGATGATGCCAGAGCGTGACACTGGACACTCGTCTCAACCGAAAGATCCTTAATTTAGTCCCAGGACTATGTTTTGATATCAGTCAGGCTTCAGAACCATGGCTCGAGCGATACCGACTATTATGTTACTCATGACTGGCGCAACTTTTCAGGAACAGGGCAAAGCCCGCGATCAGACATTCTGTGTAACGGTGCTCAACTGAAAAAAATTCAGTTGTGGCTGAAGAAAAACAGCAAGAAAAATGGTATGAGTCCTTCTGATAAAGCCCTCTAGCGAGCGCGCCTGTACGAGCAGAGGGAGAGCAAAGGTAATTATTGGGTAGATAAGCAGGATAGTGGTGTTGTAGTCGATGGGATCGCGGCTCAACAACAGCCGCATTGCCCTACTGCCAACTATCTTCCAGCGATGTTCGTCGGCAGGTCTTCTGCCAGCGATGGTAGTATAGCGGAGAGCGGAGCCAGTGGTTAAATTGGCCATGTAGTGGAACACCGATCGATCGGCCTCACCTCCCTATGCTTTCGCCGCAAATCGAGCAATTACGCCGCTTTCGTGTCTAGCTCGCTCCCGAGGCAGTGAAGATAATGATAGTCGAGTACTGCCTTCTCAAACCTTCGATGGAACTTTATGTGTTTTAAGGGCTGACTCCCTGCGCACAAATACCTTGCTCTTTTGACATAAAAACGAGTGTGCAGTCGCTGCTGGTGCCAGAATCCCAAGTTTTCATTTAAGCTACGGGTCCCCATATTTGTCGTGATCTTCTCTTCGATTTCTGAGGACTGCGGGCGAGAGCTGATCTCATGACCATGGTTGGAGAATCAAATGTCAAATATGTCGAAATTGAGTATACATCTTACATTCTTTATGTCAGTTGTAGCAATTATCAGAATTGGTAGTTCACGAGCCAGCCAAGGCATTGGCCGAAGGCCTTCAATAATCAGCAGGCATGCACACTGAAAATTTGGCCCAGTCGGTTCTTTCCCTTCCTACTTTCCTTTCCCCAAAAATTTGCTGTCGAGCGGGTGGGAGACGAGGGCGAGTGATCAAGAAAATTTTCTCAAGCCAAATAGATAGTTTTCGTAAGTAATCTCTAGCTGATGAATTCCCTGACATCCACGTGGATTATCTTGCGTCTTGGGCTCTTGTGCGGTTCAACACAGTAATACACCTCAACCGAGAAAGAGAATTAACTCACCCTCAACTCCTTTACCTTCCCCCATGTTTCGAAATAAGTATCCAGTCAAAGTTTCCATCATAATATCCTATGCTCAACCTAGGCCCAGTCTAGCATTTTCATGAAATCTTCGGCTTCTGTTCAGGGATTGTTGACGTTATTTCTTTATCAGTGAACTGTCTTCTACGACTGAACCAGGAGCTTGTACTGGGTGAAGAGTTCAAATATTTTGTACTAGTATGCATAATAGCCGCTGGTACTACTTTGAATGCTCATATGATTGGAAATATATTTACTACATTCAATCGGTATACAACGATTTGCCTCATGCGTAGCTACGGCAAGGTCAGTACTCTTCCCCACAGGCAGCTCCGGAAACCTTACTGGAACCTCACCGACGATTTCAGTGGATGTGTTTTTGATAGCGATAACGTCACAGTCGACCAAACCTAAAAACAGTATATCCCAGCCCCCCGTTCTAGATCTGGACCAGAAGAAATGTATGGGTTGCTATTGTGGTCCAGTACACAGTATCTTTCATGCTCTATATCCACACCATCAGGACAAAGATAGTTTATAATCGAAATGCTGATGGAAAACTAATATACGCAGGTTTGGAAAAACCCCTCGATGAGGTATGTTCACTACGAATTTCTACACATGTCCCACCATTCATCCCTCACTCGCCTTCATAAGCATTCCAAAGGGACTTTTTCACACTTTGACTAACATAAATCTCTAGCAAATGTGGCATGAAAGTGTAGTAAGAAGGAGCACTGGTACTGCAACATCATCAGATCGTGGCTAATGTATACTACATCAAGCAAGAGCAGTAAAAAGTGGTTGAGTAGAAAGAAACTTTATTGTTGTAAAAAGACTTGTGAGCTGTGGGCTCACATGTGAGGTCGTAGATGCTAAGTGAAGTTTCTTAAAGAAAATGTGAACATCCAAGGAACAGAAGACCAGGTGAGCCAAACGCGCAATCCCGTGAAGGCCGTTGGAATGGAGTGGGTAGCTAACGGGTCGTACGGGACGTCAGACAAGACATACTACGGCTCAGCTAATGGTCGAACTTCTTCGCGAAGGATTTGCATGAATGGGTGAAGATTTTAGGTTCCTTAAGCTAGGAAAACCTATGGACTGAATGGCTTTCAACAGGCACGGAAGGAGGCGTCACTGGTGTCCGCAAGAGGGACTGAATGATTGACGGAACGAGAACTGATGCGGGTGCCTTGGAGTAGCACTGACATTTAATGAGCTTGGTAAAGAAGCTGAGCTTGAAAAGTGAAATGACTAATCGTTCAGTGCAAAAGCTACTCTTCTTGCAACTTACCTGGGTGCCACACTCAAATTCCTGGGATGTTGTAGGCGTCGCTGCGTTCTTGAACTGAACGTGGCGACTAAGCTTTTCGTGAGATATTTCTATTTCGGGCAGTTGTAATGATGTCTCTGTGCAACACAGAAAAAAATGACAATTGCCTCGAATTGAAATATACCATGGGTAACCACTACTACGACATGATCGAATGCCACGCCCACTCCGTATCAGAGATAAAGAGTGTAGTAGTGAGGTTCATAACTGAGGTCTAGGAAACAAAGTAAAAGTAACCCTAGCGCATTTAAACAACATTCCTGGAAACACGACCGCCATTAACACGTTGACGACGATGGCAGACAATGGTGTCTGCCAGTATATTTTCTAAGAATAAAGATGGACGAACAGCCAAGTTTGTCGTAAAGGTGTCCCAGGAGTAGCTTGTCCCTCTGAAATGAGTACCACAGCTAATACTTGGCACGAAACCGCCTAACCTTGTCCCTAGGGGTAGTTTGACCCCCTAAACAAGAATATCATATACACCTGATGCGTTGACGACGATTTCCGTCAATGGTGGACGAAAGCCCCT